TGTAAGACCATTTAATCTGGGGTTTAAAATTACTTGCCAGTACTACTGGCCATGAGATCCCATTCCTAATATGTTTCCTCCTGGATTCCAATGTGATGAAAATCCTTTGCCCTTCTTATATTTGGCAATAGATTTCTACATTGAGTTCAAGATGATGCACCTAAAAAGTTCACAATGAATATGCAGTGCTACACAATGAGCTTGCTGAGGCTGAACAGATTCTTTTGGCCATAATATCAAACAGTTCCATGACTAAATCATTCTACAATAAAATCTAATCTTTCAAACGTTTGCCTGAACATGTTAATTTCAAGTGTTGATGTTATTTTGTAACATTTTAGTTCACAAAGTGAACTAAACTGAATTTAAAGAATGCATTTTAAACAAAGATTGACTAATTTCTTTGGTGCTGAAGGCAATAGATGTAATTCTTTAAAGCAAACAGATTTGTGTGTTTCTTGTACTCATATTCCACCTTCCAGCAAGTTGGGGTGACTCCTATTATTAAAATGTAACAAAATACATGGAAAATTGATGGTGAGTGTGTTTAGATAGATGGAGGAAGTGTTTACTACACATACACAGATGCACACATATACGTGTGTGTGTGTGTGTGTGTGTGTCACATATTTTGGGGAAATAAAAGTATTTAAAGCTGAGAAAAATTAAAAGGACTTTCAAAGGAGTCCCCCTGAAAAGATTTGTTCTGCCACTGCTCACTAGAGGACAGATAGAGAAGGGAGGCCCTTAGAAGAACTCAATACCGTATGTATGGCCAGGTGATTTTTCAGCCGTCCTTGCCCCAAGGGAAAAAAGGTCCCTGCACTTCCGGTCAAAGCCCTGCCATTATTCGAAAGTTCTGTCTACCTGAATTTCTGAGAATATTCTGATGTACCTGGGCTGTATCCAGGCTAACATTATGTGGCATTTGGGGCCCAAATGAGACTGGGCTCTCCACTTCCTTATCGGCATAATCACATCTATCATTTCACTTTGTTCATTCATCCCAGCGAATGTCTCTTGGGTTGCTCACGCTAACTCAGCTCATTCTGCTGAAAATCGCTGACTTTAGCCATTCTTCAGGGAAAGATGGGGCACGGTTCATTTTGCCTAGATAAACCCCTCTTTAAGATGGCATTTACACTAAAGCCTAGTGGTATGGATGTTGTCAAAAGGAAGGACCAATAATAGTTAATATTTTAACCATGTATCTTACATTCTGCCTCATGCTCCTTCTATCTTAGGGCACAAAGCTATTAAACATTTATGATTTCCAATTTTTGGTTTGAAAATAAAGACCCTAAGAAGTTCCTGCTTTAATTTTTGTGAGAATTATCTATTAATAAATAGCCACAATTCTTGAACAGTATCTCTACAATGCTTGGTTATCTGCTTATATTTGAGCTTTTGGCTAGAAAATGCAGGAAAACATGTTGTAAACCATGAAAAACATGTTGCAAACTACATTTTTCATGGTTAATAAAGGTCTAATTGTGCTTCTTAACTGACTTTGCATTATTTTTGTTTTAAAATGCCTTTGTTAATATTTCTGAGAAAATTTATTTTAACATTTTCAATATGTATTTCCCCCAAGAGATTAATAATATAAAATAGTGATGTCCCTGTCTTATTTATTTCAAGATGGGTCAAACAATCTCCCTCTGAAATAAGTGAGAATTAAAAGAGTTATATTAAGTGTTATGCCAAATGTTTCTATCAAGCTATCAAAACACAAAATGCATCTGAACTTTTTCAGAGCCTTTGTTTTTGTTTCTGGATGGTTCCTAACGCAATAAAGCAGCGATTTCCTAACTATTTATTAATAAGAGCTACTCCTGGGCTGCTGCTTTTCCCAAAAGTGAATTCTACCATCCTGGTTGGGCAGGACATCTTCATGGCTCTTTGTGCACCTACTGACTTTTCCAGCAACCCCTTAAAAAGGGCAGAAGTGAATCTCGACATACCATTTCAGAGTTAGGAAGTAATTAATTTCATTTATTCTGCAACTTTCAGCCTAACATCTAATGTCTGGATTTTATCAACCCGATTCAAGGTTTGTCTGCTCTCGAGTATCTTCAGAGGAAAGTGTGATAGATTTGCTATTAAGTGTTCTTTCATACCAAGGAAAGGATGTAGCTTGTTACAAGACAGCTAATGGTTATCCGAAGGTCCCTGAAGTGTTTAGCTGAGAGATATGATTTGTGCCATATTCACATTTATCTCAGTTTAATATATCCTGATTACATTTCAGCACCAATTCAAATACTGTCAAAAACAGTGTGTCACTGCATTACTTAAACATTTCTATATGTGGATTGGTGTCACTTAAGAATAATTTGGGGTAGCTAAACATTTTCCTCAGATGTCTGCACAGTGCAGTTATTTCTCTCCACTGAATGCTCATAATCAATGAAAATTTCTCCAGGCCTGCCAATGATCTGAAAGTATGATACAGCAGGTTGATATGATTGAAAAAATGGGCTTTCTTGGAGAGGTTCCTGCTCTTTGCCTTCAACACAATGTGTGATGATTCCATGAGACGGTGAGCTCTAGAAGTATGATTTGCATGCAACGTCTTGTAATATAACAGCATGCAGGAAAAGGTGGTGGAAGATAGCAGTTTAATATTAACTATTCCTTTTTTCTATCAAAAAACAGATTTACTGTATTTGGGCCCAGAAATGTGGTTTTGGCAACTCAGATGTAAAACAGATACTTGGGGCTTGAATGATATTTCCAAAATAAAGTGGTTGGGAGGGCTGTGCTGTGGCTCTTGTGAGACACACCTGAAATATGGTTCAGAACCATTGCACCTGAACAGCACAGCACTTGCTAGAATGACCTGAGAGCATCCAAGAAAATGCTCCCAGTTGGCCATTTAAACCATGCATTAAGAACAATGCCTGTTCTAACTTCTCTTGCTGCCATTGCACCTTCTAGTCCAATGCTGATGGGATGTTCAAAACATGGAGTCTGCTTTAAAATGGATCTCATTGATGGGGCAAAAGCTGTCTTTTATGGGGTGAATCATTTGTTTAAGCGTGCAGCAGGATTTGGTGCTTTTCTCCATTCTCAAACAAAAATAGAATTTAAAAGGGACACCACGGCATGGGGTTGGTGTGGAAGTGTCTGCTCTGTATGATGAGCTGATCTGCTCTTCACTCAGAATCAGCCACCATGCATGGTTCAAGGCCACTTTGAGGGAGCAGACATATTATGACCAGAATTGTCTAAATTCGAGTGTTTGGGTGAAAATTCTACCCCAGAAACGATATGTTTGTATTCTATCATTCATATATATAGTGCCTTATATCTGATGTGGTTGGAGACATCCAGAATAAAGGTATGTGATAACGTAGATGGTATATCCCTCTCTTGCCTTGTATTCCAGGATTATATATTCTACTTAGAGCCAGAGAAGTTGGAGTCAGGCAAAGGGAAATGCTCATATGACCCGAAGGTGGACACAGTATCAGCATTAATAAGTGAGTTTCTTGGCTGTATAATGTCAGTCTTTCTAGTGAGTAGTATATTAGACAACAACAACAACAAAAACCCTAAAAGAATTCTGTGGTCCCTCCTTGCATTTGAAGGAGCCAGAAAACTCTAGAATCCTTCTAAAGGCACCCAAGAAATTTGGTAGTGAGATTCTTTAGCCCAATGAGTTCCTGAGAATTCTTACAAGGAAATGCAGCGAAAGTTATTCAGATTATGTTTATTCATTTTCACTTATTAAATAAGGGATTGCTTCTCCCACTGATGTATGACATTGAATTATCAACTATTACTCTGCCATAATTAATTCGTTAATGAAGTGAACTTGATGTACCATTGATTATTGAAGTCTCTCAGCACTTTACAATAAAAACATTTACAATCAAAGCACTAGAAACAGTTAAAATAGCAATAAAAACCAATGAAAAGAATGAATAATTAAAATCAACAATTAAGAGTTAAAAGTTAATTTTAAAAGGTGAGTATGAACAAACTTTATAAAAGCTAATAAAGACCTTAGATCCCTCAGCACTGCACAAAGTGTATTCCAAGGAACAGGGCTGGCAACAGAGAGGGTTTTACACTGAATCACCACATGAGGTGAATCTTCCCAGAGAATTCAGCAAGCATGGAAGTAAATACAGAAGGAGACGTTCTGTCAAAATATCCTGGACCTAAGCAATATAGAGCTTTAAAGATAGTGATCAGCACTTTGTATTTTGCCCAGAAATAATAACAACAACAACAACAACAACAATAATGTTGTTGGTTCAATAATAAAATAACACTGGGAGGAGGAGGAAGGAGACGGCCCCCTCACAACCCAAAGCGACTCAACGGCCTGTGAGCTCGCAGAAGCAATGCATATAGAAGTGAACTGCTTCTTTGCTGAGCTTATTAGCACAACACCAATATGCAAGTCAGGTCTTCCTCCACCAGTGTTCCAGCCATTTACCTTGCTGCTGAAGCTCCTGCAATCATCCACGTATCACGGGGCCATTCTTGAAGCAGGTTGGCAGAGTTAGAGTGCTACGGAGCATTTGCGCTGAGGGCCCTAGCAAACTCCCTATTGCAGCCACTAATATGGTCATAAACAGATGGCGTTCTGTTCATGGCAATGAAGAAAACTAATCTCCACCTATGGAATTCCTCCCTGATCAGAACCAAATACCAAATCAAGTCTCTGGTGAGCACCATGTGCAGACCTTGGGACAAGATGGGATAGACATATAGTTGTCATGGCTATGAACTCCTGAGATACTCCAGATAAACCAGCCTGATAGTGGATATTGAAATCCACCAACATCGTAAGTCTAGGGGTCTGCAACACCAATTCCAAGACCAGCTCTCTCAGCCCAGCCAGGAACTCCTTTAGACTGCAAGGTGGAAAGTCTACAACAGAATCCCAACTCTATCCCCAGCCCCAAAACTGAGACACTTACATTAAACATGCACTGGTTCTCTCACTAGGTGAAGGAGATACTGTTCTTATGCATTACATCCATGCCATCTCTTTGATGATCTTTGTTTGATTTTGAGCCAACTTGGTATTACAGAGGAATAAGACCACAACCTTTGAGGGCTTCAAATAACTGTCCAAGGCTTGAGAGCTGAGAAGGCCACCTGAAGGAGAAATACAGTAACTCTATAATTCTATTTTCCCCTCCACTGTAATGGTCTGCTGGCCACTCAGTGCCAAATCTTCTATTCCCTACCACTACTGTGATTGCTACGCTAGGTTCTGTAAATGGAAATGTAAATTTAAATATAAACCCTGCCTTCCCACATTACAAGACATGCTTTAACAGTCAATTAATACTTTCAAAGGATATCTGTGTGTGTATGTGCGCAAATAAATGTAAATCCATGCATACAAAGGAACCTCAAGTCCAGCATCAAAGTTAGGAAAACCACTGGGAACCATTAGTATTAGGCATCCACCAGACAAAGTAGAATTACTACTACTACTACTACTACTACTACTACTATTCCCAACACCCAGTGACTCTGGGCAGTTTACAAATTGTTTAAAACATTAAAAAAACCATTAGTATTAGGCATCCACCAGACAAAGTAGAATTACTACTACTACTACTACTACTACTACTACTACTACTACTATTCCCAACACCCAGTGACTCTGGGCAGTTTACAAATTGTTTAAAACATTAAAAACAACAAAAAAACAAAAATGAAGATTAAAGATGGCAAGAATAACAGAGCCGGAATAACAACCCACACATTCTAAAGGGGCTTCACTCACCTTCACCAATCCCTAGGTGAAGAGCCAGGTCTTCAGGGCCATTGGAATCTCAGGGGGTACCTCATTCCAGAGGGCAGGTGCGGCTGCAGAGAAGGTGTGCTTCCAGGGACCCAATATATGGCTTTGTTTATTCGAACCTGGAGCATGCCAACCCTGCAGATCGGATCAACCAGGCAGATACTATGGGATATCCTCTGTAGTTATTCCTTCCCAGCATTTCACCTCTCAACAGTAGGCCAGGTAGGGCTTCACTCCCCATCCCAATTTCCTGGCTGCCATCCAAGGGCAGTCCCAATCACTCCATATGCACACATCTTCATGCTACCAGGTGCTTGCATTTACTCCAGGAATGGCAATCTCTTGGTGTTGCTCCCTTTTGGGGTCTCTAGTCAGGCTGTAGCCCTAACCAGCCAGCTTTAAACACAGTTCTTCCTGAGAGTCTGCTAATAGCTGGATAGTAAGTGCTCCCATCTTGTTCTGCGCTAGTAAGCAATAAGAGCTTTACTTCAGGACCAAGCAGACTGCAGCCCCAGCGGTGGAGGAACAGGCAGTAGGTGTAGAGTCCCAGAAAAAAACATTTCTCACCTGCTCCTCTGAAGTTTTCTGCTGCAGCTCCTGCCTTGTGCGGTGGTATCTGCTAGGAAAAGCTGGGCATTGTTTTATACGGAATCAAGAAGAAAGAAAGAAAAGAAAAAGGGTGGAGTAGGAAAAAAAATCCCATCAGGATGTTGAATCCTCTTTAATTCCATTGATCGTATAGTTGCCATAATTTCCTCCTGCATTTTTAATCCCCTTGCCTTCATTTTTTGATAATCAACATGTTTGTGTACGTTTGGCCATATGAAAGAGAAGGGAATGAACAGGTTTTATTCTGTTATTTTGCTACGGGCAGACATATTCCGTTGCCACATGCAGACTTTTCGGCTTTGTGCACCTGCAGATTGATTCCAGCCATGGACGTTCTCTGAACTTTGGCTGATGTGGTGTCTCCCTTCCCCATAGGGCCCTCCCATCTCTTATGTGGGAACCCCAGCTCCACAGATCTTCTCCTTAGGAGGAGGGCTGGAATTACATAAGCTCACAGCAGGGAGATCATTAGGAGTGGTATCATTGTCCTGCTAACCCCAGACTAACTAGTGGCACAACAGCTGCACTGTACTCCCCCCACAGTCAGCTCCAGCACTGGCCGGAGTTCCTTCTTCCCACAAATCTCCCAGCCCCTTGATGTGGCCTGCCAGCCTCTGATTTTGTCCAGGCATCAGTATCCATTTACAGGACAAGCCCCGAAGTTTAAAATTAATCTGGCAGCAGCTGTGACCCCAGTTTGGGAAAAGCAAGAATTGTGCCCCTATGCCAGTAGATCATGGCCTGATGAACAGCTCGGTGAATACCGTGTGGTTCACTATTAAGTTCTCTCTTAGCAGCCGCAGAAAAGCCCCATGTTCCATGCGCATGTGCTTTACTTGCATGTTTGCTTAACAAAACTGCTTAATCAAAAGACGCTTGCTGTTTGCTCCAACAGGCTATTTTAAGTCTTTAAGCGGAGGCGAGGGGTTAGTAGAACCAGACCCCTCCACACCCCCTTGCCTTCTCCCTGCCTTTATTTTCCAAGCTGCTCTCTATGATTATTTGGCAGAAGTTCAGAGCTTGGGCTGAGCCTTATTGTGAAATACTTAAAGGACGTCTAGGTTTCGATTAAGCTGACCTTCAAAATATAGGAATTCAGTGTGGTTATCTTTGCAAGCAGCTTTGGGCAGGGCATTGGAGTTAGGGAAAGATAAGGAAATCTCCGTGCTTACCTCTTGCTCTTTCCCACGTCTTTCTGCCCAATATTGCTTCCTTCTGAGGTACATGCTCCCTTGTACTATTATCTGCAAGTATTTGAAAGTTAGGTTGCTTAGCGAAGCACTAACCTAAGCAGCGGGTCTTGTGACTAACACCTTGAGGCAAAAGGATGAATGGGGGAACATGTTGATAAGATCTCCCCTCCCCACACTTCAGCATTGTTCCTATCTGGGGAAAATTAGACTTTGGTTCAGTTTCTTCTTCTCTTGACAATATATTAAACACCAAAGTTATCACTAATAGAGTCTAAGGGGTTCCTTTTTCTGTTTTCTTGCCAAGAAGATGGGCGGGAGAATAATCCCCCTAAACATGCTTCCCTTCCCAATATTCAATTTGTGTCAGGGTTGTCACCCACAATTCTTGGCACAGAAGAAAAAGGCAGGGAGGGCGCTCCTCTCCAGTATTCTTCTGCTCTGTTCCTAGAATGTTAGGAAGAATCCAGACAATGTTCTCTTCTGTTTGTAGGCATCCCGGGTTTCTTTGTTATCTTTCTTTTAGCAAATCAGTGGAGTGAGTAAATGGGAATCCTGGTTGTGTAGAGTACCCTTGCTTTGTTCCTAGCTTAGGAAAGAGGGTCATTTATTATCATATGCTTTATAACTTTTCCAGCCCTAACGCCCTCCAGAAGTGTTGGACAACTTTTTCCAGGGTTCTCTGCCAGCATAGCTATAATGACAAGAAATTCTAGAAGGCATTGCTCAGAGCGGAACAATTGTCTTCTCTTCCCCCCCCCCCTGATTTATGCCTCTTGCCCACAGATGAAGAACTCTATGCTGGTGTCTACATTGACTTCATGGGCACAGATGCAGCCATCTTCCGCACTATGGGCAAGCAGACTGCCATGAGGACTGACCAGTACAACTCCCGTTGGCTCAACGGTAAGTGAGGGGCATTGTGAGGGAGGACAGAAAAGGAGACCATGTTCACCAACCGAGTCCCATGTACATGCCCCAGAGTGGGAAACAGAACTGGTGCTAAAATGGATTTCTTGAGAATTTGTTTCTTCATCCTGTTTGAAAGCAGCAGAAACACTGTGCAGAATTGAGGGGTTCCTGCGCTCACTTTCTTTTGATTGCACTCTGTTCTTATAAGAAAGAAATGCCAGTTAGTAGATTGATATACTAATCAGATACTGTTATGCTTGTGGGACTACCCAGCAACCTCCTTTATTTTTAAATCCCCTCTGTTAATGCACAATGTGTTACGTGACTCTTCAGACCTGATTTCTTGAAAGAATATGGTATCATACCAAGTCATATCAACTTTCTCTGACTGGTTTCTTTTATCTATCCATATATAGCCTGCCCCTAAGGCTCAGTTATGAATCTTCATCAAGCTCTTTGGATCCAGACTCCCTTCTTGGTGCTCTGTGGATCTCTTTTATTATGTTTCCATTCCCATGACACTCTTCATATCCTTCTGCTATACCCCTCTTTCATGTGACAGACACATTTCTCCTTCGGTCTTCATAATATATTGATTCCTGCTTTCTGTTCAATTCCTTTGCTCATACTTTCTGTCTATGCCCAAGAAAACTGGATAGAGTTCCTTTGTTTTTTCATGCTTGTAGCATCAACAGATCTGAAATGCCTCATGGGTGGTTTGACAAGCACAGTGTTGTGGCGATATATACATACATACATACACTCATACATACATATATAATTTAAAGGTTGCCCAACTCCAAACAACTCTGAGTGGCTTACATTGTAAAGGTAAGAGCAATAAAATATTTTTTACAATAACAAATCATAGATATCCAGAAGAGAAAAACCAAAGATAACAACAAAAAGCAACCTATAGAGGCTCCCAAGGCCTGGGAGAACAGCAAGGCCTTAAAAGACTTTTGGAACATCATTAGGGTGGGAGTCATATGGATCTCTGGGGGGATACTATTGCAGAGGACAGGCACCACGAAAGAGAAGGCATGCTTCCTAGGTCCAAATTGTTGAACAAATAGAGGAAACTTTAAAGATGTCCACTCTTCCCAATCTTACCAGATGGGCAGAAACAATGGAAAAAAGGCGATTCCTCAAATATCCAGGCTCTATAGATGATAACCGGTACCAGGAAGCCCAGAGGCAACCATCACCGCTTGTGGAGCAGCAGAGTCACGTGGGCATACCCACCACTGCCCAGACCACTGCACTCTGGATCAGTTGTAGCCTCTGGGTGATCTCCAAGGGCAGCCCCATGTAAAGCACATTGCAGTATTCTGCAAATGTTCCTTTGTTTAGGCTTAGCAAATCAGATTGCTGAAGGCGTCATTACTGTACCAAGTGACAACTGGCCTTTATATAATTTTGTTTAGCCAGCTGGACAAGAGTACAACTATTTTCAGGTGGTTGGCCCTTTGTTTGCTTCCATGACCGTGTCATGGCTCCCCTTTTGTTAATTCAGAAGCAGGCTGTTCCTGGCATTATTTCCCCCTACAAAGCTGATGGTAAAGGGCAGGTTTGTATTCTTGTCATTTTTGATAACTGATCCAGAGCATTTAATCTCCTGCCACATCTTCTCCAGCATGCATCATGGAATGGGATCCAATGAGAAAAGATCTGAGCCTCCTGTTGGTTGCAACTCCAGCTGTTAAGGAACAGCAAAAACAGCTGAGTAAACTGAGGTTGAGTATCATGTTTAGAGGAATGTCATTTTAGTAACCTGAAGAGAGCTATCAGTGTAAGCAAATGCTGGATTACATGGGCCACCATATGCCTTGGCAATTCTTAATACTGATGCTCTAAAGAAAATAACCAAACAGCTCCAAATTGCAAGCCTTCTAGAAATTCTTACGAGTTTCTGAAACTGGACAGGTGTGCTTGCAGCGACATAAATCTTACGGCAGAGTTTCTCATACAAAGGAATGTTTGCTACAAATTGTGATGGTTATTGGAAATGGACATTTAAATAATCGGGCTTTGGATCTCCAGGATATTTCATGTCTCCAATAGCAAACAGTAATCAGTGGGCTTGGTATGCTCACTGCAATGCTCTCCTTTTGGCTGTATTCAGTAGAAGATAGGAAGATCCCCTTCCCAGAGTATCTCTGCCCCTGCAATGCCAGGCAAGCGGAAACCACCAAGCACGTCTTTCTCTCCTGCCCGTCATACAGAGACACCCACCTCACTAGGTTGTCAGGCCATACAAACCCATTTTACATCTTCCCACTACTTTCTGATTCCCACATAGCACATAACGTGGTCAGGTTCTGCCCAGCAACATGCCAAACCTGCTTGGTATTGACTGCTGGCTAGAACCAGTCATGCTCAATACATGCCTGACTATTATATTGCTATCTCTCATGGGTTGTTATTCAGTGATACAAATTCTATTGCAACAGCTTTTTTTTCTTTTAGTGTTTTTTTCGATAGCACAGAATATTATCTTATTATATTTTATTCATCACTTGAATTTTAGTTAACCTAATAGCTTTTTTCAGTTTTATAGCAATTTTGTAGCTTTTCCCTTACCATCTTTTAACTCTGTAGTCTTCACAAGTCCTAGACTGTTCTTACGTTACAGTTGTCAATTTTACAGTTTTTACTTTATGCTGGTAGAAATATTGTACTATGGACTTGTAAACTGTAGCAGTTTAGCAAGGATGCAAGAAATGCTTTAAAACATTATTATTATTATTATTTTGTCTGCGCTCAGTCATTGCTGACCCTGCAGTGACTGCTTGG